TAGAAAAGGAGGCGTGAGGCTAGGGGTGGAATCAGAACGACAGAATGGCTGGCCCAGCAGATGAGGGCTGAGCGCTACGGAATGCGGCCGGCGGTGTTGATTTCTAGAAAAGCTGGAAAGGATGAGGAAACTTTCTCCCTTAACGTCCCCAGAAGGAGCACCGCTCTGCCGACACCAGGACGTTAACCCAGTGGGACCCACTTTGGACCTTGGACCTCAAGCGCTGTGAGATGATGAATTTGTGTTACTTTAAGCCGCTAAGTTTGTGCTCATTGTTGCAGAGGCCTGCAAGGGGGCAGGGCTGGAGCAGTGGGTTTCTGCTAGGACGAAGGCACGAAGGCCCTGGGGGAGGGAAGACTGAGGATGTGGGGTTTTGTTTATGGTGGGAAGTGAGGTGCAGAGGGGTAAGTAGCAGCATTTCATGGGGTTGGGGGGCAGAAAGTGGGGTCTGAGCCACATGGGGGTCAGAGTGAGACCCGCAGGGGATGAGACGAGAGTGACGTCTCAGGGATAAATGGCAATAGAGATTCATCCTGGCGGGGAGGCCGTGAGCCCTGGGAGATGGAAGTCATGGGACCTGCGACCCCCACTGCCTGACTCTCCAAGGGGCCCTGGACCTACTCTGGGCAGTGCTGGTTTGGGGACCAGGGGGGTGTCCACAGGGCAGATTTTGGGAAAACCTGCCCTCACACCTCCAGATCCTGGAGCCCAGCTCAGGGGACGAGGTCTGTGTCGAAGACCCCAGCAGTGCACAGAGGGTGCCTGGGCTCATTTGCACCTTGGGGAGGATAAATGAGAACGTGGGCTCCCGGACCGCAAGGCTGCAGGTGTATCTGGGGAGGACCAGATGGAGAGGTGCCCAGGAGGAGCGCCTTAGCACTGTCTAACGTAACAAGCTGCAGGCGCTAGCCACGCCTCACTCTGCTGCAAACAATCCATTATTCACCTTGTCAAACAGACTCCCCAGAGAAGCCGGTTTCGGATTTGGCTTGTAAACGGCAGCTGGCCGCCTGGCCCTTCTCTTACCTGTCCCCAAGGAGCTGTTGAGCTGCAGCAGTGAGCATTTTACAAGCAGGAGGGCCACAGGTGACTGCAGGCTGCCAGAAAGCAGGTGACTGGCCTGGTAGGCTCCAGGATTCGAGGGAATCGCGGTCTTTATGGCTTTCTGCAGCCAAGGGAACTGGCTCTTTCTAGAAGACAGGCTGGAATACGCTGCTGTGTAATTAGAGATGAATAAACCAAGCCATATGGGACAGAAGAAAAGTCTCCCTTGAGTCAGTTGTTTGGTTTAAAAAATGTGTTAAATATTAGGAAATGATTAATTTTCCATGCATTCCAGATGAGCCCATTGTTCTCCGAGCACAGGAAAGGCATGTTTGCTCATTTAATGCTCGGTTCCTGGGGGCCCACTGTACCCTATGCCAGGGTGTAGAGACACGGCATTGAGCAAATCAAGACAGTCATGGCTGCCATGGAATTTACAGGGGCAAGAGACAGACAGTAAACACGCGCATGGTGATCCAAACAGGTTTACCTGGTAATACGCCGGGCTGAGTGCATGTGTGGGTGGGGCATGGGGTAGGTCCCGCATGGCGGTGAGGAGTCACTGAAGTCCTCTGAGGACAAGAATTTGATTGGAAAGCTGAAGAATGAGGAAGAGTCAGTCCATGAAACTTTAGGATCAAAGATTTAATAGGAAGAGACAGAGGTGGGGAATAATGGTGTGGTCTGGGCAAGGAACAGAAAAGAGGACTGGACTGGAGTCAGAGGTGAGGCTGGAGAACTTGCAGCCAAGGAAGGTGGCTGAGCCTCTTGCCTGGATCATTCTGAATGCAGAGGGAAACCGTGGAGGGCTCGAAGCAGGGGTGTGATAGGATCTGAAGCAGCTTTAAGCTCGATCTGGCTACTGTGTGGACGGGGAGGTCAGGAGTGCACAAGGGGTAAGCAAAGGGCTGCTCTGTCATCCAGGTGTTCTGGTGAGAGGAATGGTGGAGGTGGAATGATTTCAGAATGGACCAAGCAGGATTTGCTGATATGTGGGCAATGGGGACAGCCGGGGTTATTCCCAGGGTTTTGACGAAGTGACTGCGTAGATGGTGTTGCCATAAACCGATGAGTAAGATGGGTGTGTGTTGGGGGAGTGAGGAAGAGGAGACTGGGAGTCAGGAAATTTGGGGGCATGTTGAGTTCAAAATGCCTCCTGGCTACCAAAGAGAAGGCGCATGGTGGGTCGAGGAGTCTGGTGTGTGTATGTGAAGGTGTAAATATAATCCCCTCCACGGTTGTCCTCTGAATGTTTTCTTCCCATCGTATTAAGGGCAGAGGGTTTTTCATCGAATATCCTCTGACACTTTGCACAGCAACAGAAACTGTTAGCAATGTGTTTTCGAGGAGTTTTGTCAGTGAGGTGTCCCCATTTCCAAAAAAAAAATGTGAGGCCCGCTGATGTACAAAGCATCGCCTCTGGGAAGTAGAGGGACTCGTGATTGCGCTTCTTGTCTCAAGGCCAGCCCAGTTCAGAGCGTGAAGTTTTTGGTAAATTGGGGATTCCTAGAGGGCTGAGGACAGGGCGATATACAGCAGGGGGTTTTCGTTTCTTTGATAACTCCACATTGGGCCATTTACAAAGCTCAAGTTGGGGATTTTATCAGAAGGGCAGGGCAAGAGGCAGTTTAGAGTGAGGAGCCCTTTTTGGAGAAAGTTTGGTCCGACGTTGTCCATCTTTGAACCGCAAAATGTTATAGGGTTTATAGCAAGCGTGTCCCTATACCTCATCATAGCTACTGGGGATCGTCAGGCAAAAGAAATGACTTCACTTTCGTTTCTTAAATGTCCTTGTGGTTTTGTACCTCTGTACTCAGCATTATTTTACACTCAGCCTGGTTTTACCAGGGACCAGTTTCCTTCCAATTTATGAACCTAAAGAGGCTGAGTAGGAGTCACCAATTGTCCTTTCAGTCTTACCACTTCTTAAACTCCAACATGGCACGAAACCACCGTTCTGTTTCCACTCCTTTGTATGAAACCTCATCATGCTGTTGGATATAGCAAGGAACATGTTCAGATTTGCAAATTCCTGGCAAAGTCACCCCAAGATGCACCAGTACAAATTTCCTTGTCATCTCAGGTTTTGAAAATTGGATAAATTCAGGTTTCTGGCTTTAATGATCAATTTAGAACAATTAAAATCCCATTGTCAGAGCTCTAAATGTTTTCTTCCAGATATTAGTCAAATGAGGTCCCAAGATGGGCTCAAGGCTCCATGAGAAACCTTAGGCGAGTCTGAAATCTGTTGTTAAATGACAGGACAGTGGAGCAATAGCTAATATTGATGAAACATGCAGTACCTGTGAGGTGGGGACAAGTGTCCTCATTTTATATCTGGGGAAACTGAGGCACAGGCCAAATTTGTGTTTATGAAGTGTGGCTCACGTATAAATATAGAACACAGACTTGGTTTTTTAGGGTTTTGCTTTTTGTTTTTGAGATGGGGTCTCATTCTGTCATCTAGGCTGGAGTGCAGTGGCGTGATCTTGGCTCACTGCAACCTCTGCCTCCCGGGTCCAAGCGATTCTCCTGACTCAGCCTCCTAAGTAGCTGGGACTACAGGTGTGCGCCACCATGCCCAGCTATTTTTTGTATTTTTAGCAGAGACAGGGTTTCACCGTGTTAGCCAGGATAGTCTCGATCTCCTGACCTTGGGATCCTCCCACCTCGGCCTCCCAAAGTGCTGGGATTACACGTGTGAACCACAGTGCCTGGCCCAGAAGTGTGTGTGTTTTTTTTAAATGACTATATGGTTATAGCCTTGTCCTCTGCTTAAGTGTTTTTGACTTTCTATTCAGAAGTGGTATAAGGTTTTCAGAAAGTGAGTTAATTTAAAGTAAAACAGTTGGTGGCAGCTACAGCATCATCTTAGTGGGCAAGAGTTGCCTCTCGGGTGTGTAGCTCTGGGCAGATATTTTTTCTGGGGCTCCTGTCCGCATAAGCAACTTTGGCCCCTCCTCAATCATTGCCTTTCCGGTGGTCATACTGTGGCACAAAAATCACAATGAAAATACTGCACCAGCCATCTGGAGCAGTCTGCTCACTGGGGTGCTGTTCTGGACCCTGTTGGTGCAAGTTCTGGAGATCTTTGGGACAACTGCATGGGAGAAATGGGAGCCAGCTGGTCCCAGCCACCAGAGGGAGACTAAGGACATTTCAAAATAGGCACTTACGGCAGCCAGGACCCATGCAGGACCCTCTCTGGGCTTGGGACACCTGCCCATTTGGTAGTGCTGGTTCCAGGCACTGGAATGGGCGAGTAGGGGAGCGCTAGAAAATTCCCAGGAAGACATTCCAAGTGCGGGGCTATGGTAGGGCGGGGTGGTCTCTAAAGCACAGGGCCTGGGGCAGGTACTCCATTTCCCTAGGGTTAAAGAGTGGGAGGAGATTCAAACCACAGTGAGACTTTTAAAAAGCTACTTCCAAACCTGTTAGGCGCTTTAGCTACAGGGCGGTAAAAGCTGCTTGAAGGAAGAACTTGGCTAGAAGGTTCTCGTAGTTATGTTTATGGGTTTGAAGCTGTAAGGTGCATTTTTTTTCTTTAACCTTGACATTCTGCAAGATGCTCAAATAAAAACGATGGTTTTTGCCTTCCAAGTGGCTGGCTTAGCCCAGCTGACTGTGAATGCTTTGGGACCCTTGAAAAGATGGTCTGAAGTAGGCATCATACATCTCTTTTATGGCTGCTACCTCAAAAGTAGTCTAGAGGCAAGATTACAGCAGAGCTGTGCTGGAGAGAATCAGACACATTCAGGTTGACCATGTAGTTTTGTCACCTCTGACAAGTGGCATCTGAGCCTGAGTCCCAAGCACAGTGGGACTGTACCTACCTCCCAGTAATAAATGCACACACTTCGGTGCACACACAAAATGTTCCTCGCTGAGTGAGCCCGAAATATAAAAGGGATATCCGAGTAGCCTCTCTGGAAAAGAAAGATACGCCAAAGTAGCTGTTGCTTCCAACTGTTTTATTTCTAAACTATCATGATACAAGCCGTATAAAAATACTTTACATATAGGAAAAATAAACTACATTAAACTGGAGATGAAAAACATTTGCATAGGAATGTGAAGTATTCAAATGCCTCTAACAGTCAGGATTTTCCAAACCTAAGCCTGCCAGCACCACTGTGTTGGAGAGATCTCTATTTGTTGGAGAACTGTATTGGTTTTCTCTCCTCTAAGGTCTGTAGAGGCCATAGGGGTGAGTGAGGTTCTTTGACAAGATGTCCAGGATGCTAAGCTTGTGGTTCCAACAGCCACAGCCTCGGCCTGCTCCGGCCAATCAGAATGCGGTGAGCACCTGCTCTAATGGAAACATCATCATTTGCATCCATTCCATTCAAAGCCTGAACTCAGCAGGGAGTTTATTCTAGTCCACCAACAGCTGCAGAAAGGTAGAATGTTAATAACCCTTTCACTTCCAGCTCCCAGGACCCTGAGGGTTCAGGAAGCATCTCTCTGTTACCAACCACCAGAAAAGTTTGTTTCTAAACAAACTAAGACAGTGATGTTGGCTTAGGTCAAGGCAGTCACAAAGGCTGAGGGAAATGGATGATTCTGATCACAATTTTATGTGATGCTGCTTTTTCTTAAGCACTTAATTGGAATGCAGGAATATACTTATATGCAGTTGGCTGTTTGGGTTCCATAAAACTTAATGCCCAAGCCTCCAGCCTAGGAGACCCAAGGTTAAGATGTGTTGGGTCACCAAGCACCGTGCCTCCAGGAAATGAGTTCGGGAGAGGTTAGCCCAGCTTGTCAAGAACGTCACGACTCCATCCATGCCTCTTGTAAACTCGAAAACATTCTTTCAATTCTGAGCAATAGAAAGCACTTGGAAAGGTCTTTTATTTTTCTTTGACATGACAAATTCAGCCTCACTGCAATCCAGAGGGACAAATAGAACATATCAACTTCCGATCTGCCTAAATGTGACAGTCTCCAAGACTGACTCACTGCGGCAGGCGTCTTGGCTACTGGATGTAAACAAAAAAATGCAGTATCAGTGCCTCCCAGTTCTCTGAAGGAATCAGTTCATCCCTGGTTATGTCTGTGCTAGAAAACTGTCCTTTGGATAAAGCATACAGGAATTATCTACCAAGATTTAGCTTTGGTCCCCTCTGTAAAGATCAGCCTGAACAGAGGGTTCTGTGAACATGAATTCTTTTCCAATTCCATTGCAATGAAGGCAGGGTTTTGGTGTCAGTTTTTAAAACCAGTATCACCTGCTAGACTACTTGTTTTGGAGGGGGATCTAGACACTTCATGATTCTCAGCGACTAGATCCAGGCTCAGGGCTGAAGTCAGCATAATTCTTGAGTAAGAAAAAGGTGCTCCTTCTTCCACAAAGCCATTCCTTCTCCTGAGATGCTGTCTGTCTTCTATACAGGTGATGAACAGGCTCTGAGTGGGGATTTTATGATAAGGCTTTTTGTTTCCTGGAATGATTAACAAATGTTTCAAGAATATGTCATTTCTCTTAAGAAAAACAGAATCAACCTATGTGTAAAAAGAGTCACTTCAAAAGATTTCTGACCATTTATAAATATAAATCTAATTCCAACAGGGGTGTAATATTTTGAGAACAGGTAACAAGCATAAAAATACAGGTAAGAAAATAAAATTTAATAACATACTAATTAATCTGGATTGCTATATATATTATCAAGCAGCAGCATTTTTATACAATACAGGAAGACTTGCAAACTTTGGAAATATACTGCATTCAGCAACATGGTACATCTGTCAAGTGCTACATGTTAACTTAGATATAGCAAGAGCAAACCTTGACTTAGCTGAGATCCTTCTAACACATGCAACACACCCATCTTTACCATTTAGACACCCCTACTTTCTTGTTCTCTTAGAGGATCTTATTGCCTCTTCCCATACCGAAAATATTTCATGAGCCATCATTCTTGGCAAAATTTCCTCCTAGCATTTGTAACTGACCAAAAAAACTTCCTTGATAGCTGTCAGTTCCTAATACACTTTCTCTTGCCTGTTTATGTCTCACATCTAATAGGTTTGTTTCTCTTTCCTTTGCTATTTGGTATAGTTGTTTATGAAAGTGCTTCCTATAATATCCAGCTAAGATGTCTTAGAAAAAGAGAGGGGTTTATGTGTGTATTACACACACACACACACACATGCGTTCAGGAGGTTGAGCTACCAGGAGGACCTTTTTGCAAACATAAACTGATGGAAAATGCATTACTCCTTTTTCACCCTGTAGGCAAGGAAGCAGAGCTACTTTGCTACAATAGCAGGAAGGCACTTGGGTAAAACATTCAGATAACTGAGGAAAGGCCAAATTCCCCCATGTGCAAAAAGTGGCTCCTAGCCAGGTCAAGTGAGAACAAATCACTCACCACACTCTTGGCTATTCCCCAGTGAAGTCAATTATTGCTGGAGAGAAAATTCTTTAGGGGAAGCTGCTAGTATAGGAACTTGTTATGTTCGTAAGGAAGTATTTAGCATCCCAGAAGTTCTATGGTAGGGGTCAGCCGCTTACTGGCATTTTGTTTATTTAAAAGAGAATGTTGCTCAACTCTGAGCTTAGGGTGGGTGACGGAAAGGCCATCCATTGTTAGGGAAAAATAAATGCTAGGTATTGACCAACAGGTTGCATACAAGAGCACAGGCTGGAATCTGAGCATTTTGTCTTCTATCTGGGGCGCCAAGCACACCTGGCCCCACTCTCAGGAAGCTTTTACCTCTGGGTAACCTTGACAGGAGAGCCAGGGTTGACAAAGCCCATAGTGGGCACTGAATGGCCATGACTTTCTTCTTAGGCCTTCTGCCTACAGACTGGACTGAGAAAACACTCTAAGTACAGTGGGAGTGCTAAGAATCTTTTCACTTTGTTGTGGATTATTGAGTAAACAAATGAATGGCTGAAAATGAATCCCCACTGGTCCTGGGGTATCTGCAGTCAATGCAAACAAAAACACATCTGCCAAGAACTTTGAGGATTTTGTTTGTAAAAATCATAAAAATCGCACCAACAGAGGACTAGGGGAGACCGTGGGTGCGCTCAGTGGAAACAGTTGGAAGGAAGGAAATCACATAACACACAAGTGGTCTGAACAGAGATCATTCAAACTGGAGGATGCATTCAAGTAGATTTGTGTTGGAATTCTAATACAGACAGGTCTTCAGGGGCAGAAGGGAGCTTTAAATAGGTTCAGGTGAAATTAACCAATGAAATTAACCAATGAACCTTGGAACAGCATCCTGAGCTTCTCTGTCCCACTTTGAATTTAGGATAGAGGGAATTCAGCCCTTTTCCTCTATCTTCGTAAACCAGCTTCCAGAAGCACTTGGGCTGTTTTGCTTAACAAAAATACCCACACTTCCCTTCTTGCTTCTTTACCCCTTCTGCTATTCTTCAATTCAATGCACTTGCTTGAGATTCTCCACTGCTTTATGGAAAAGCACTCTGGCTGCTAGGAAGAGAGCAAGCCGAAACCTTGCAAAGCATCTAGGTTGTGCAGCTACAGCAGACAGGTGCTTGCTCTCTGTAGCCTGGGTCAGCCCCCCAAGTCTATGGAAATTGTGTTAGCAGGACGGTAAGCTGCAGGGGTTAAGAACAGCTCGCCAAGACAGCTGGAGTGCTAGATGCCTCGGCCAGCTTTTTAAAGCAGGAAAAAAATAAAATAACAAACGCATATACGTGTCATAACTTAACGCCAAGAAGTCTTAACAGGTGATCTTGTCTGTGCAAGACAGTTTTTGTTTTGGAATGAGAATTCAAAAATAAAGCTTTAGCCGCGGCCCAGTTGTGGCCGAGACTGGGCGAGGTCTAAGGACTGATGGTTCCGTTTCTGTCTCTACCAAGAGGGTTTTGCGTTTCTTCAGCCTGTAAGCTGGGCTCTTGGGTCACGTTCCTTTGGTTGCTGTCTGAGAACTCCTTTCCTTCAAAAGGTACAGGAGCTGTATCTGTGACCTGGAAAAATGAACGCAAGGCCTGGGGTTTAATCGCAGTGTCCACGTCTTCTGTCCCCCGCCCACCCCTCCAAGCTCCAGTCACTCTGTTCTCAGGCGCGTTCCAGAGTCCTGTCTTGTGCAGAATGTGCTTTTGGTCAGCAGGTGCTTAATATTTGGACCGAACAACATTAAGATCAACCAGGATGCTCGCTGGGATTTTAAACATACAACGAAAGGAAGAGTTCTCTCTGATGTTTAGAGGGAGGTGGCAAGCTCCTTAAGCGAGAGTCCGCTTTGTGCCCATACATTGATCCGCGTGTGGACTCCGGGCTGGGAGATGAACGTGAAGGGAGACAGAAGGTGAGGGGCAGTGGAGGGCTCCGAGGGGTCAGATACACAAGGTGTCTTGCTATAATGGCTTCTTTTACGTCTGATTTCTGGCGGGAGGTCCTGAAAACTCCTTCCTGATAATTTCATTAACTACAAAAGAAAAGGGGGGAGAGAGAGAATGGGGCGAGTGAGAGGGCACCAAAAACATGCATCAGGTTCGCTTTCTAGAACCTCTATTGGACTGTTTATGTTTGAGACAAGGTCTTGCTCTGTCGCCCAGGCTGGAGTACAATGGTATGCTCATGGCTCCTAGCAGCCTCAGCCTCCCGAGTAGCTGGGACTACAGGTGCATGCCACCATGCCTGGCTACATTTTTTAATTTTTAGTAGAGATAGGGTCTCACTATGTTGCTCAGGCTGGTCTCGAACTCCTGAGCTCTAGGCGATCCTCCCAAAGTGCTGGGATTACAGGCATGAACCATGTGCCCAGCTCAACTTTTTTAAATATTTTTTTTGTTCCTTGTGATTGTATATTTGATTATTTTTAATATAAGAAATGCTTTCCTATATCATTTTTTCAGATAAATTTTGTGCTAAAGATCGGTTAGCGAAAATTGCTTAAATGGTAACTTTTTCAAATTGTTGTGGCAGAAATGGATTTGAACTATTGGGCATGTTTTAAGTAACTTTCTCCACTTCTGCAGTTGATGGCATGCACTCGAGGCTTTCTACTGGGTACAAAACTACTTCCACTATTTTGACAACCAGAAAATGCCTATTATATGATTAATTCTGATAAAACGTGGTTCTTTCTTGAGCCATAAAACTTATGGTTCTCAAAAGAGGACCTCTTAAAAAGAGAGCAAGTGAGAACCGCCCCCCTCCCCACCCCAAAGACTGACAAGCCATCAACATGAGCATATTTTGATTTCAGCACAACCAGGTGTAAGAGTCATGTCCTGGCTCTAAAAAGTTTGGTCACCTCCCACCCCAGAAGGATGTGTGGAGTTCCTAGCAGGGAACCAAGAGCAGTACCAGTCACTGGCATCAAGAAGCAAGCCACATTCTCCTACTTTGGCCACTGGGTAAGGTACTAATTACTAGACTTCAGGCAGTGAGATCTTAGGATAAGGGTTCCCTGAAATATTCTGAGAATTAAGGAGGTGTGATCAGTGGCAGCCCACCCATGGTGCAGAGGTGTGCATGCCCTAAAGTATGCCTATTCCTTCAGTTTTGCAGGTAGACCATATTGGCTAATTGTGGGGTGGAAGGGACGAGGATACAGACCCCTTTGGGAGTCCTATCAAAGGCAGGTTAACTTTCCATTTCTTGGTTCTGACATTGAGTTCTTTCCACACCTCCTTATACTTTTTCTCGCCTTCGCCTTAAGTTATATTGACACTGAGGCTTAAATGTTAAGAGTCGCCCAAAGTCTCTCCTGGTTGCAGGATGCTTTTCCCTGGAAAACCCCAGCCCCAGTGGTCTGTAACCTCCATAACAAGAGAGGCAGGGAATGCAAAGAGCTGGACGAGCTGGGTTTGATTTTCAGTTCCCTCTCTGATTGTATGACATTACCTCTCCATGCCTCAATTTTCTCTTCGGTAAAGTGAGAATCATCCTAGCACATAGCTTTCCAGGCTGCTGTGAGGATGCTAAGCATTTACATACATAAGAGCTAGCACAGTGCCTGGTGTTGAACAGCTGGTGCTTGTGACGGTCAGTAACATCCCCAGGCTCCATGTTGGACTCTGAATCCCATGCTTTGCAACCCTAGGCTTTGTTTTCTGCCAGAAGATCAGGCATAAGTCCTTGTTCTAGAGGCGCGCCACAGGCATGCATATGAGAGGTCAGGTTCTAGAGCCAGCCAGGGTTAGAATTCCACCTCTGCTGCTTCCTTGCTTGGTGAACCTTGCTTTGGTGACATAACCACTCGGTGCCTCAGTTTCCTCATCAGCAAGTCGCATCTAAAAATAGTAACTTCTAGGTTGCTGAGGTGCTTGGATGAGATAATGCGGGTAAAGAAATGATCACAGTGCCCAGGCACAGCCAGTACTGGTTTGCAGACCAGTATATGTGTATTAGATATCTACATATCAGAAATACATACATTATGTATAACTGCTCCACAATGTGGAAATGGATTCATTAATAGGAATGTAGAGGATGAATTTGTATGTTTAGCTAACCAGCACTAACTGGGCATCTACTGTGTACTGGGTAACAGCTGACTCACAGGGGCCCTAAGCCAGAAGCTGAATAAGGCCTGTCAGCCCCCAGCCCCATCTTCTGTCCTGCAGGGGGGATGAGCTGATGGTGGTGTGTAGGACTTAAGTAGTGAAAGCTGAATGCCCAGGGCAGGTGGGGTTGGGGCAGCTTCATGCAAAGCTTTTCAAAGCCCGGATTCTGAAGGGCTTCCTGTTTTCTCAACCTAGGAAGTGAGAGGAGTTGATCCTTAATGAAAACTTTCCACAGCCTCAGCTTTCTAAAAATAGCTGGTAGGCAGAGACGCTGGCACCGAGGCCCTCTCGCAGGGCTGTTTCCTTTCTCAGAACACAGGGCTGGAGCAGGGGATGGGAAGCAGGGAAACTTTTCAAGCAGGCAGAAGTGTGTTTCCCTCCCCTTGGATGAATTACGGTCCTGCTTTTGGGGAACTACTTTCAGAGAGAAGTGAAGAGTTGCATCTGGAAAATTCAGTGACCCATGCACTTAGATTTTCTCACTATTGGGGGTAGTGAGGTGGCCCAAAATCTCTCTGGGTAGGAACCTCCTCTTTCTGAAATCTTGGCACTTGCTCCCCTGACTGCCAACACGGAGAAAGTTCTAGAACAGAAATACCTGTTAGGTGGTGGTGACAGTGTGGAGCCACGTTGGGCTTTAAGTTCTGAGAGGAGGTCTCTGCTCAACCACTTAGGTTTGCAGACTTGAGTACCAGGGTGCAGGGGGACCCCAGTGCCCTTCCTGCCACCTCTCCTGTCCTCCTTCCCTGCCTCACACTGCCCCTCTGGGTAGCATCATGCTTTCACCAGTCTATTGCTTTTCCTTCTCACATCAACAAGGCTCAGTCTCCCTGGCAAAGCCCCCCCTTGTGGCCAGCCCCTGCCCAGTTGTGCTCCTGTCTCCTCACGATCCCCTGCTGCCTGGGTGCCTAAAAAGTACTTAATAACGTTTACTTATGAACAAAACACAGACGCTTAGAAAGGGATCAGAAAACTTCAGGTCACAGCCAGGATTGCCCCGCCAAGTCAGCCTCTGCGGTTTGGATGCTGAACTACCCTTCTGTATCATTGCCGTCCGCATTTTATTCCTCCAGTAATCTACCCTAGGCCAGCCACCGTACCTCTCCTCCGACCTGTTCCCAGCTGGGGCCATGTGCACTGTTGCAAATCCTACCTTCCCTTCCTGCCGTGTCCAATGCTGCCTCTTCCTGGAAGCCGCCCCACATTCCTGCCATGATGCCCTCACTCCGAAAGCAAGTACTGAATTTTCAAGTAGCCTCACTCGTGCCTGGCACCAGGCACAGCAGGTGCTTAATGCCTGCATTAGCCCACCACCTCCCCCGCCCCCACCCCCGCCCGAGGGCCCTGCACCATCAGCCTAGGTCCCTTGGTTTAAGAAAGGTGATTTTCCTTTGTCATTCGATTGACAAATGGGTTGCTAATCTGTCACTTGTTTGTTTAGAGCCTTTCTCTCTAGGAAAGAATACGAGCCATTCACATTTCCTGAGAGCTGTGTGCCAGGCCCCACCCAGTGCCAGGGACTATTACTTAATTCTCCCACCACTCCTAGTAACACCATCATCCCCATTTTATAGATGTGGAAATAGAGACGGACAGACAGATACTCTCCCTAGCAGGTGAAGGAGGATTGGGATTTGAACTCAGGGCTCATTTAATTAACTTGTACATGATATGGCTTCTGCATGAAGTTCAGTATTCATCCTATTTCTTTTGGGGACCCGGAATCCTCTGTGCCATCTGTGTAAAGTCAAGGAAAGCCTATAGCAGACTCTGCTCTTGACCCTTGCTCATCCTTAGAGGTGCCCTGGTCAGAAGGCTGATGGAGAATGTATCGATAACCTCAGGGTGGCTACTGAGCCTGAAATTGGAAAGGCAAAAGCAAACTGATCTTAAGTATATAAAACTTGTGTACAAAACACAGTGTAACATTTTCAGCATACATGACAAAGTCATATATACATAAAGAGGTGTTTCAACTCAATAAGAAGGATAGCCGTATTCTAATAAAAGTGGCTACAGACATAAAAAGATGATATGCCAGGGTCAAACAAACTTTCCTGTGAAGGGCCAGGTAATATGTTCAGCTTTGTGGGCTCTTTCTCACTAAGACCTGCCGGTGTAGCATAAAAGTGTTCCAATAAAACTTCATTTGCCAAAACAGGCTGGGGGCCATGACTGACCTAAGAGCTGCGGTTTGTCAACCCCTAGTATATATATGCTAATGGCAAAGAAGAAAAAGTATGGTGTTCTCTTTGCCTACTTTTTGCGGATGGCGAGCTGGGGAAGCCGATGCCTCTTACTGGATTTCTAAACATGGAAACTGACTTCTGCTAGTATCCCACTCCGCCCTCGGAATCTTCTGTTTTGCTAGAAGGCCCAGACACCTGCATCTACTTTCTCCTCCTCTCGTTTATCAGTTGAAAGGGCTTTCAAGGGTACATTTCACGCTAGGCCCTTTCCGTTGGACTCCTGACTTTGAAATGGAATCCCCTGAGAAAGCAACAGGAAGGAGCGGATAGGCTGGGTCCTGCTTCTCACTTAAACCTCAAGCATGTTTTCTAAAACCTGGTGAGACCACATGAGAGCCTGGGCCCAGCCACAAAGGCCATGGCCAGAAAGACACTCCTCAAGCTAGGATGGGAAGCAAGAAGACTGCGTTCTCCAGGCTAAATCAAAGAAGCTGAGAGCCAAGAGGGAGGCCCAAGGCAGCATCCCTCAGTCCTTACTGACTGTTTCTTCTGCCAGGCAGTACCTTGCTGAATTCTCTCTCACAACCCCCAGATGCTTGGGTCAGGATGTGGAACCAGAAAGCACCTGAAGTCTTCTCTGGGCTCTTCTGCTTTTCATCCTAACTGTTCTCAGGGGAAGTGACTCTGAAGGCCAAGGAGGTAAGTTTCCTGAGCAACCTGGCCTG